TTATTTAACTCCTGTGAAATATTAAAGTCACCATTAGAGCCAAATTTTGCATTATTTACACATTTACGACATTAAAACATCCTTAAGTTAGAGCCAAAACATTGGCCATACTATACAATTTAGCCTATTATCAACACCCCACACTTAGTTCATTGCTAGTCCTCGAGCAATCCACTATATTCTTTAGAGATTCCTTCACTCAACCATTTTCCCTAACGCATTACATCTAGAACAATGTACATACATTACGCCTAGCAGTGAACAATCCTAGCCTTAAAGCTGACTCTCAAGTGCCATGCAATATTCAAACCTCCTCAACGTACTCTACATAAAAGTCAAGACTTACTTTTCCGTCACAAGTCATATGCCCTCACCATCACGTCAACAAGAATTATTTGGAATTTAATCCACACATTCGAGTCATACACTTACATATATCAATGAAAGCACTCACTCTCACAATAGAAGTCATATGCATGCAATTGGTACCATAAGCTTGCCCGTAATGTAAATCTCTACTAACGTAGGCTGGCTCGACTCAAAATCAATTAGGATTTTTTTCATAGTTGTAATGTGGGCTAAGGGACATGTAGGATATATTTAGGAATAGTGACTAACTCCCCTAAGCACTTTAACACATCACATGTTGCACTCATTCTTCAACCCATTTTTTCATTCACAAACAATATCATCACCCAAATATTCCTTTCTTCTTTAAGCACTTTATTAATTCATACCCACTAGCTGGAACAAAACACAATGTATTTATTTATTCAATTTCCGCTAGTGGTGTATATGTTACAAAACAAGTGCACTTTCTAACCTTTCATTGGTTCCACTCAAAAGCCACCCCACACTTAATTCCTTCTTAATTCTTTTAGCATTCTTATCACAATTAAAGTACTTTAAGAGGTAAAAGGTTCAAAACAAGATCAATTAAGGACAAAAGGGTGTAGGCTTGCAATGTGGTTGCCAAACAAAAGTCTATAAGCTCAATAGGGTTAACTAGGGATACATTTTATTTGTGATTAGCAATTACGCTCAAAAAGTTCAAAGAAAGCCTAAGATCATTTTTCAAACCGAGCATCACCTAATGTTTCGCTTTAATTCACATACCGGGAAAGTTCTAGACACAAATACAATGCATGAACTACACAATTTCTCACCATACATGGCATATGACTCATTAAGATTAGCTCATCAAGACGCTCCATTACGAGCAGTCAATTCAGTGACAAACATACAATTTAAGGCACTTTCAGTGAGATTCAACAGTTAGCACTAAGCGTTACACTCTAGGGTCTATTGTGTTCAGGAGTGTCAACACTATGGGTTCTCTTTTCTTTAGCTTGTAACCCCTTATTTTAATCTACAAATCAAAAATTGAAAACAGAAATTAAAAACTACCTATGCCCGGTTCAAGATAAACCCTTGGAAAAGAACCGCGGCCTAAAGAAAAACCAAGGGGGAGTTGTTACCCTACATGAAAATAAAAAATCTTTTTGTTGTTTTCTCTAAGCTCAGTCCCTCAAGAACTCCTGTTGAAAGGAATCCATCATCGGGCCGAGCCATTTTATATTATTTTTTTTATTTTTACTTCACACAGATAACTGTCTAGTCAAACAATACCAATTCAACAATACCAAACAACCAAAACAATCCAAACAATCCTGAAAATCCAAAACAATTAAAGATACACTTGAAGGAAATGAATGAAATCCCCCACCCCATACTTAAAGCTAAAGACCTGTCCCCATGGCTTAAATTTTAAACAAGCAGTGAGGTAAAGAGACTTCCCCGAAAGGTCAATCCTAGTCGGAGACAGAGCTGACGTCTACATTGCATGCCCGACCCAATGCACGAAGCCAACCTATGATCAGGTTCTCCGTTTTCTTCTGCTGAGTTGCCATTTCATCAACACGTTTCCCCAAATCATTCACTGATGTTTTTATTTCAGTTATCTCCTGCTCCATGAGGTCTAGCCATTGTCCCCGACTGGCCCTAGATGGGCCTGCAACATTAGCAGCTTGTGGTTGTGCTGGTTGTGCATCATCTCTCATCTCCACATCATCAGCTCCCTCTTGTTGGTCCTTCTCCTCATCATCATCACTGTCTTCAGAATCATGACCAACCAATTCTGCAGCAGCTACCTCCTCTTTACCTGTGGTGACCCTCTCAACCGTGAAAGGATTGACTACAGTTAGTCGGCCATCTAGGTCGAGATTATTTGGCACATTGGCTTGAAGGCACAGCCGGGTGACAAAAGATGGGTAATACAACCCATATCGTTAAACTCGAACCCTCTCAAACATTTCATTATGTAATAATAATGCCACATCAAACCACCCCCTGTTCATAAAATACCAGATTAAGCATGCTCGAGGAATATTCACTTCAGACAGATTTTTGGAAGGTAAGAGGCGGCTGTTGATGAAGTACAACCAACATTTGGCTTCGAACTTAAGGGCATTGGAGTGGAACTTGCTTCCATATTTATACCACTATATATTGGCATCTGGTCGACAAATGATGTCAGTGAATGTGGCCCATGGAATAAGCTTGCTGTTATATACTTGGTATGCATCCATGTACTCCTCCTCCACTTGGGGTAGCGTGTATAAAGCCCGGATAGTTTCTACAGATGCATTGACTGGTTGCTTGCGCACTGTAACATTGTAGTCATTATGTTTTGGGAGGTTGGCATAAAATTCCCTCACAAGCATTATATTTGCAGTGATTGGCTCCTCGAAGAAGATCTCAAGTCCACGCCTCCTCAACTCGAAAGGTATATTGGGATAGGTAATAGCCAGAGCATTTGGATCCATGGCTTGTTCTGATACCATTGTTTTAGCCTCTTTTTTATTAAACCCGTCCTCTGCCTTGGCGGACACAAAATTTTTGGCTATTGAAAGGCCTAGTATCAATTGACTTTCGGGGCCGACCCCCAGTATTGGCTGTAGCCGGGCGGCGGGAGGAGGAACTTGATGCTGGGCGTTTAGGAGGAGCCATGGTACCTGCAATTAGTTCAAAGTTAGCCTTATTCAATCGGGTGACCAAACCGAGGCTACTTACACTTCACTACGTAATTGGTCACAACACTTCCTCCAAAGAGGCATTTTATCAAACACATGGTGAGCATGGTAAGTTTCAAGCTTCACCCAGCCCTATAACACAATGTACACACCATCAACCAACCCAATCACTACATCACACCACCATACTCATAAGTTTTCAACTTCTCAGCCCAACCACCCCACTAGCATGTGTTTCAACCCATAATAATGCTACATTCTACTATACAAAGTAAGAATAAATAAGAAAAATTACACAAACTATCCTAGAAAAATAAATTTTTTTTTGAAGAAACTATCCTAAAGAGATAAATAAATTGTCAATCCCATAATAATGCTACATAATAATGCTAAACAAGAAAAATTGAAGAAACTAAATAACAAGAAGAAGGAGAACATATACCTGAGCAAGAGAGAGAGATTGAGTAAGAAGAGGAAATTAGGGTGGTGGGTAGTTGGATATGGGGTAGATGAAGAAGAGGAATGTTAGATGAAGAAGAAGAAGAAAAGGGGTTAGGGTTAGGGATTTTAGGCGTTAGAGTGGGGGGATTTGGGTGTGGGGATGTTAGATGTAGTGTAGATTGTTTTTAGAAGGG